CAAGCAGAACTTTCATAAAAAAAGTAAAAGTTGAATTATTCCAGGCACGGAAATGGCTGCAGCCAATATGTTGCGATATGGGTTAATGAATAATCGCTCTAACGAATGTGGATTAAAACGCACTTTTCCCATGGAATCGAAATCTTATGCTAATTTCACTAATGTGGCACCACGAAAGAAAACGGCCGTGAGAACTTCAAATGTTAGTCTTTCCGTTGATTCTTCATAAATTCTTGTAATTTATTTAGTTATTCTATACTTAATGTAAAAGGAGCATCTTCAGTAATGAACGATTATACTCAATTGATTAATTGATTTTGCAGGCTGATGAATTAAATGAAATTCACAAGAAAATAACGGTGTTTAATCAACAATTAACTGAAGCATCTGCTGAATTTGAAAAGTATAATCATCTTTTTAAAGAATATCTTGGAAATTATGCCGTAAATGCTGCCAATTTGGTTTAAGGTTATAATATATGATGTCTGAAGAAGTCTTGCCTAGGTTTTTTCAATGAATATCTTGCATAGAATTCCATGCGTGCAAAAAAATGGAAAAAAAATGCATGTAAAATAATTTTTTCTTAGATTTCTTAGATACTTAGATTTCTTTTGATATATAGACTTTTTATTTGATAAGATCTTATTCTTTTATCTTGTATCACTTGCGATTAAAGTGAAAATGAAAATTTATTTGGTAAATGGTGATTCCTAATAGCAATTATGCTTTTTTTTATTGTACTTTTTTTTGCACGATTTTCTCAAAAGTTGGCAAACTCTTCAGTCGTAATTGATGCGTATCGGCATCGTTGAAATTTTATTATGAAAAATTCCTAATCAATTCTTTTATTTCCCAAAATAATCGAGAAAAAAAAGTCCCTCAGATTCCTCAATCTTTGAAATTTCCCTTAATTGTCAAACGAACATATGTGTTATACATTTGGGAAATATGTTCATTTGACTATTGAATTCTTTATTTTTTATATAAAAAAGGAAATGTATGTAAATATATATATATATTAATTTCATTCCTGAATTGAGATGATATTTGAGAGGAATCAGAGTTCCTCAAAACCCTCAAATGGCCCTTTA